CAGAGACTCCGGGAGCTTGGACGGGAGGTTATATCGCACCCACCGTATAGTCCGGACCTGGCACCAAGTGATTACCACCTTTTCCGGTCCATGCAAAATGCTCTTGGCAGTACTAAGCTGCCCTCAAAAGAGGCTTGTGAAAATTGGTTATCTCATTTTTTTGCCAATAGGGATGAGGGCTTCTATGAGAGAGGCATAATGAAATTACCTTCAAAATGGCAACAAGTTATCGAACAAAACGGCGCATATTTGACCTAAATCGGTTTATTCATTCTTTGTAAATTTAAATTTGAAATAAAAGTAAATTTCCGCGGATAATTTCTTTCCAATCCAATATATGGTGGTATAATAACTTATTATAGTTATTAAGGGTTAACTAATCCATTGTTTGTTTAAATATAAAAAATATAATATGTATATTATAAAAATACGTTTATTATCATTATTATTGTTATTATTATTATCTCATGATCGTTCTCCATCCCTTATCGGGAGCAACACAATAGAAGAGAAATTCCCAAAGCGAATAGCGTCAGCTATGCGCATCGATAGTTCGTTAAATAGCGATACGAGGTGTAGTCTCCAATACTGGGTAACCTACATATCTACTCTTACACATATATCCGCATGTGAACCGTGAAAGAGATAGAATATAATTTACCAAGGTATTCGCGTGTGTGTGTTAGTAGTCAGGATAGCGTATAATTTCATAAACTCTGCGACTTGTTCGATCAAATGAGAACAGGGCTTCAAATTCAAAAATAACAAAACAAAAAACTTATTTTTCTTTAACTCATTGACTGCGAACTACGAGATATCTCGTAGTAAAAGTGTGTATTAAAATTGCAAACTGCGAGGTCTCTCTCGTAGGGTGTGCTGCAATATTAGATTAATTACAAATGAGGTTATTTCAGTTAAGAATTATTAAAAAGGTTGAATAACAAATTTATATGATGTAAACAAAATATTAATTATCAAGATATACACACAACAAGATAAACATAACATGTACGTATACACACAACAAGATATAATCGATAACTATCATTAATTTAGGCACGAACAATTTAGAAAAATAAAACAACGTAATTAAATTGATTAGATAGTATCAACCACGAAATTATTGGAGAAACGCATGTTAAACACAAGTTTAGAAGAGTCGGATGTGTGTAAACCATAAATTTCATAGGATCAACCTTAAAATAGAAAGAAACGGAGAGGGATAGAAAGATAGAAGAGAAGTAGGAGTAGATGGTATGCTACGATTAAGAGAGAATATGAGCGATTAGAGAAGAGGAAGCCCGTAAAAGGAGCTTCTGAGATCCCCAGACAGTGGCGTCATCGGATTACTTAATGCGGTTCTATGTATGCGTTCTCTAGCTGCTTGCTCGTATAAAAGTCTACTACTCTAATAGATGGATATGAAAAAAAAAAAAGAAACTTCTCCCTTTTCTTCTTCATTTCTTCGTTCCTTCTTCCCTTTCTAACTTTTTTCCTTCATTCTTTCTTTTTATGAAAAAGAAATTTCGGTTATTCATAAATAAATAATTATTAATTCATTTAAAATAATATTCAAACGAAACAAGTGTGGAAACTGACTTGTGTACAGTACAATAGTCGTTTGTTGTATTTTATGTTGTATGTATTTTAACTTAATTGTATATTAACGTCGTTGTAAAAATGTATTTTGTTTTCTAACTTTACAACAAATTAAATTATCATAAATTATCCACACACAAAAAATTAACAAATGATAGATCTACGTATTATTTTATAAATAACGTTGAGATATAAATTATACCAGAATATAAATGTATATACGTTAAAAAGAAACGTTCATTTTCAGAGAAGATTTTTCAGCTCGGTTACGTCTGGAAGTATTTAATTTCCGGCACGAAGAAGAAGAGGAAAAAGTAGAAGAAGAAGTAAAAGAAAAAAAGAAAAAAAAAGAGGAAAGAAAAGCTAAGGTACCAACGACTCCCCAACATAAAAAAAAAAACTCACCACGACTAATTAACGCAAATATGACTCTTATCGTGGCTGAGTATCGATATGCGGTTAGAGACGAATTTCAAGACATTAAGATAAGCACGGTTGTTTAATGGTACACCATTACATAGCCATTAAGCAGCACCATAATTCTAATTAGGCAACTCCGAGGGCCACCACCTAGCTTCCGGCATCAAACTAATCTTTAAGAAGAAGATGCTATTAACAACGAAAATAAGTTTATTTATCAGATAATAGTCCATGTAAATTCTTTCTACGTTAGCATTATGGTTTAACAATTTAATTCCATGCGAATAATTCCACGTATCTTAAATTAGACAAAATATTTGTTGATTCCATTATTTCTTTTCGAATCATCTCACTTAATAAATATTTAATCGAATAAAAGAAGGAAAGAAAGAGAAAGAGAAAACAACACCTAAGAAATGCCTACTCTTACCCGAGATTATCTAGTCAAGAGTACCTAAAAGAAAGCTTAAACTTGGAAACCCTTCAGAGATCTAAACGTTTCAACTACCCTCTCACAGATGGCACTGTTAAAGGTAACTAAACAAAACTAGCTAGCATCGGTAAAGAAAATACAAAAGATAAAAAATGTAAAACGAAATAATACGATAACGCATTAGCATATATATATACATAGACATATATATATATATTATCCTATTGTAAACGTTAAACGCAATAGTATATAATAATCTTATTACTGATTCAAAATGAAGTGACTGAATGAATACAAATACATTTATATACATATATATTTATATATATATATATATATAGTGTCCTACTGATGTCAAAAGATTAGGATCACAGCGTGGCGCCACCGAACGAGAAATGTCGTGTCTGCAGTTTCGACGATGAATGCCGCTAGCGATTTCGAAGCTAGAAAGGAAGAAGAAGAAGATGAAGAGAAGAGAAGAGAATTCTTGTGGTCAATGACGATGGTATCAGCGTTGGTGTTAGTGTTAGTATTGGTATTGGTGGTAATGGTCGTAGTGGTATTGGTGGTGGTGGGGTGGTGGTAGCAGAGTCCACAGTGGGAAGAGTTAAGAGAGAAGCTCGAACGAGAGGGGTAAATGTAAGAGTAGAGGGGTTAGTATGGGCAGGCGACAGGGACGAGGGATTGAAACGGTGGATGACGTTGGTTGGGGGTGGACAGGAGGGAAGGGAAATCGCAACGACGATCAATACATCGCCACGCCTCGCGTTCTACGCTCGTATCTTGCGGAGAGCGAAACTTTACTTTCCCCGATCGCGTTTCGATTCTTCCTCTTCTTTTTCTTTACCCTTATCTTCCTTTCTTTTTTTCTTTTTTCTTTTCTTTTTATTTCTCAAAGTGAACATTCGCGATCGATCGGATCAATCGTGAAATCCTACAACTGATATAAATCGAATATAATTTTGTATTTGTTTTTTTTTTTTTTTAGTAACACATTGATCGGACTTTATTTATTAAGAATTGAGATATAACTCTAATGGATTTTTAATGGATTATTCGTTGAAAGAACGAACGAATATTTTGGGTAATTACTTGACATGTTTTTTTTCTACGTAGATAAATGATCCATATTCGTTCTCATTACTTTTACGACGAAACACGAATCAGGTCACTACTACTGTACAAACACGGAAGACGAAAGATAGCAGTACGTGTGTAATTGTACTGTACCACTATAAAAGTTCTCCTATTTTCGAAAGAAGCTTTTCGTCTAGTCTAATCGCTAGAAGTGTTCGTCCTATTATTTAACTGAATACGTTGAAACGTTAAACAAATATATTAATAATAATCTAATTTATCCTAGTATTATGTAGAGAACATAAAATTCGTTTAATTATTGATTATTCTTTCAGAGAATAAAAATAAAAAGATAATATATATTTGTGAGATTTATTTTAGAGAGGGAAAAGAAAAATTGTGTATCTTTTTTTTTTGTCGGCGTCTACCAACGCTCTCTATTGTCTGACGCAGTTTCCACGTGCTCGGTGCATCAGGTTAAAGAGAAGAAGGGTCGTTGTCGGTGATACAAAGATGGATAAATGAGGTATGAAGCGTGCCGCTAATGATAATAACGAGCAACGAATGACAATGCAAATCGATCGAGGAGCATGCGTGTCCCCTCCTCCTCCTCCTCCTTCCCTGTAAACACGCGCGTTATGGTAGCGTTAACACAGGTTAAACCGTCTGGCTCTGTTCGGTCGGCGAACCAGGACGGCTGGTTCGACGTTTACCTCGTGAAAATGTTCTGCATCCTACGATATCGATGATAACGCAATTACGTAAGCATTTCAAAGCGATGCCAGTCAAATGGATATTAATACCTACCATATAGACTGGATGTTCTAGGATAAAATCATTACCCAGAACTAGAGAACAAGAGAGAGAGAAATAAATGGATACGTTAAACTATGTACCATGTACCATGTTATCCATTAGATCTTTTGAAGTGAAGTACCTACAATTGAATAATCGAACAACTCTAAAATAATGACTGCAATTATCTATTATACTGCAGTAATAATAAAAATATCTATTACCCGAAATATCACATAAACTTGTAATTTAATATACATCAATAAAGAATATATAAAATATATTGGTCTTGTGCATGATTTATGATTACTCACTCATTTTTCTGTCCAAGTATAATAAAAATCAGTCGGTGAGTGAAAATATCTTCGATTATCCATCAGCAACATCATCGTCATCATCGTCACGTCATCCCCATGCTGACACACACTATCACTTTGATATTTAATTAATCACTAATTCACGTATAATATATATGTATATCTAAAATTGAGATTATTAATTATGTCCGTTCATTCGTTTGTTCATTTCTTGTCTAATGTTAAAAATAAAGAAAAATGTATTATAATTTGCTTAATGTCCTTACTCCTTGGAAGTCGTATCCCGTCTATCCTTAACTCATATCAGACTACTTCTTCCTCTCCCCATTTACTTTCTTCGAACGAAGTTATATTACTTTAAATTTACATCAAAACATCTTGCAACGAGACAACTAGCTAGAATTGCATATACAAATAATGTACTCTGACGTAAGAACTACAAAGTTCTTTGCAAAATCTTTCAAATATCAATCTTATATTTTTATCTTATTTTTTCAGCATCTTTCAAAGGAAAATGTTACGTCGAGCAATAAATAATTGTTGGAAATTTTCTAATATTTATTTGTGAGTAAATATTCACAAGATTTTTTTATTTTCCTTTTATTCAAAATTTCAATCAATTTGTAATCATGATTTTCTATTATTCTAATGTTTTGTTTTTTGTTTCTTCTTATTCTTTAAACATATTTTACTCAACAATTTATATCAAAATTATTATTGACTCTCGAATAAGGTCGCTATAGAATTCGATATCGAACCGAGTAATATTTGATATTTGTCGAATAAACCGATTCAAACGAACTTGGAGAATTCGATGATTATTGCATTTTCTCTTTCCTTTTCTTTTCTTTTTTTTTTTTTTGTAAATTTCTTCTTTATTCTTTCCCGCCCTATATCCTTTATAACACCAAGTTCTATTTTTTGCAAACTACTTAATTAAAAGAAACGTTGTGGATCACTATTGATTCTCAATTGCGAAAGAAATTAGAAGAAAATATTAATTAATTCGACTTGGCCTGCATTTGCAAGCACGTGTTCAAGTATTTTACTAATTATTAAGTACTTTAAGTCGATGAGATATATCGCGCGAGAATATTAATTGTAAAATTGTTTTTAAAAGTTACAAAAAAAAACATATAAAAATCTACCACGTGAAGGTATATATTTGAAATTGTATTTTTTTTTTTATTCTTGGTTTGACGTTCGTCGTTTTGAAGGTAGAAATAACTTTTCGAGTGATTTATCGAAACGGTGAATTGAAGAATGGTGTAATAATATCGTACGCGGAAAATAACGAACGAAAATCGCATAAACGTACGCTCGCGAACGGATTTAGGGGACGTCGATAAATAACGATGCTAGGTGACAAGCGTTAAAGTGAGAACTCTCTCGTAAATTAAGGTCACATAAGAAAGGAAAAAATATTTTTTTTTTTTTTACCAATCCAAACGAGTCCAAGAGTCAAATCTACACAAACTTCTTTTATGTTTCATACTTTTATTTCATAATTAAATTTCATAAATATTAATTTGTTTCTCTAATTATTTTATAAATACAATGTTTATTTTAGATCGAAATAAATCTCCGAAAAAATAGTTTTAAAAATGATCTATTTTATAGAAAGAATAATTTAAATATATGTTGTATAAGTAATAAATTCAAGAGAAATTCTCATCACACAATATTTCGAATGAGTACGATGTCAGAGAGGGTGATCTTCAATAATAGGAAGTGCAATAACAATGACGATTACTATAGCTTTGTCGGTAGAATCAAAGTGATGCAAATGAAAAGGAATGTCGTTCGGACGTTGGCATTCAACATTTCGCCATATAAATCGAAACGTGGGGAGATCTATGGGGTTGCACGTGGATGCACGTGGGACGCGTATGGATAGGTGTAGAAACGCGCGCGGAATATGTAACGCATCCCCTTTTCATTTAAATCGATCTAATGATCTGCATACCATATATCGATATTCTATTGAATTCGTTACTACGTCCGATAATATAATATATCGATTCTCTACCCTACACTTTTATATTTTTCTATGTTCCTTATTTTTCTTTTTTACTTTTAAATCTTATGTTAATTAAATAAATTACTAAAATATATATTTAAATAAATGGATTGAAAAGTTTCGAGCTTAATAACGTAATAACAATGTTTTTTTTTTAGTCAAACTAACTTTCATTTTTAAGAAACATAAAGGTATTTTTGTTATTGTTAAAGGCTTAAGACTTTTCAACCCACCCACGTATATAAAGAAACGTGTATAAACTAACCTCAAAATATTTCGCAAGAAAATTTCAAAACATATTGACACTTGTTCGAATTCTTTCGATGGATCCACATAATTCGTGATTAACTTTGAAAAATTAACGAAACTTTAACGACACTGATCTAGAATTGTATGATTTAATTAAATTGTTTAACGATAAAGAAAAAATAATCGTACGTGTAATCGTGCACGTCCCCGATGAAATTCGCACACGTACTGACGAGACTACACACACACACACACGTTGATGTACACAAACAACAACTTCAGGGCGATGTGATTGCTAGCACCTAACCTTAAAAGAAACAAACAATCGGAGTGTATAATAACTTTGACACACTTGTGAAAACTTTTAACCGAACGTTTATAATGCACATTTTGTTTCAAATGTTTTTCCTTCTTTTTTTCTTTTTTTATCGACAAAATACAGAAAAATTATTCTAAATTTATCGGTACCATGATGTCACATCTCATTAAGCATATGTAATTATAAGGAAGGAAAAAAGCAAGTAATTTTGTGAGTAGAATTGACAAAGTGATGAAAAAAATAACGAAATATCGATTCTTAGGTCGAACAAAACATGATCGATATAGTGTATATCACGTTTAGATTTTTTTTATATAAAACCGCGTATATACTTTCTTCGAATTCGAAGAATAAAAAAGGCAGATAAGAGACACGTGCTGATCGAGGACACCTTGACATTATCCACGACGATGATCTACACTGCTAAAGATAAGAAGAAACAAAAAGTATGAAAACCATGATCGAATGCAAGGACTATGAATCCAACATGTGTTCTTTCTCTCGAAATACATAAGCATATTTATAAAACACTTTATACCTTGTCCTAACCGTCGTGAAACTTCTTCAGGAAAGTCACGTGTCCTCTCGAACGAACGAGAGAGAAAGAAAGAGAGAGAGAGAGAGAGATGGAGAGAGGAACGGAAAGAAAGAGAGAGAGAGGGAAAGATCGATTTATCGAAAGTAAGGAGTTGAAAATGTCCGAAATCTCGTGATAAAACTGATTGCTTTATAAAGGATAGGATTAGAGGTTAGATTGGTGTGATCGGTCGTGCGAAAGCGCGCCAACTAACAAATAGAAAGAGTGCGAGAAAAGTAAAATAAAAAAAAAAATATAGGCGGAAAGTAGAAGAGGAGAAAAAGGGTGTTGACGCGTTCGCAGGTGCTTCGGAGGCGTGTGCTAGCACCGCGTGTGCTCGAGATTTGAGGTTAAGCTGTCAAAGGAGAGAAGATAAACGTAGGAGGATTATTCGCACGAGGAGCCGTCGTGGTAGATCAATGTTACGCGTGTTACGTGAACGTTTCCACGCGTGGAAACTGACTTCGTGGAAAATTATCTCTCTCTCTTTCTCTCTCTTTTCTCTCTGACGCAAAACACACGCACGCACATGCACGCACGCACACGCACACTTATAYACACATGACAGTCTCGCTCACTCTTTCAGTCTCTAACTCTGACGCTTTGAGATTACGTAATTTCCATCATCGTCATACACGCTACACTCACCTCCTCCTTCTCCTCCTCCTCTTCCTCCTCCTACTTCTCAACCACCTCCGCCGCCACCTCCTCCTCTTCCTCCACCACCTCCTACTCCTACTCCTACTCCTACTCCTCTTCTTCCTCGTACTTCTCCTTCTACTCCCTGTATTCTGGATTTGGCTGCGACGACTACGTTTACGTTGACGGCTAAAGCTTCGGAGGCTTCGCCGACGGCGATGATGGCGGTGTCTTCGTCCTTTTCACTTGGACGATGACAGGCCCACCTCCGAACGTTCCTAACGTTCTGCCGCACCGTTAAAACGTCAAACTTTATCACGAAAACATGATATCTTTCAACCGAGCACGCTGGAAGGGACGGGTGAGAGAGAGGATAAGAGACCACCACCGCTCTCTTCTTTGCCACCGAGACTCGATGACGTCATCTCTAGCGGCCCAAGATGGTGGCCCCGCGACGGCGCGGCCACCTTTCTCTCTCCACCTGTCTCTCTCACCCATTCTATCTCTCTCTTTCTATCTACTTCTCTCCTTCCTCTCTCTCTCTATCCTTCTCCCACTATTTCTTTTATTTTTTGCGTTTCATAATGATACCAATGTTCAAGGTGTTTAATAATCCTTAATTATTATTCAATGAGTATGCTTTGTGAATAAATGTTTGCTACTAAAGGTAATTTTACTTTATATAATTTCATTCTTCCGTTTAAACGTTAGGAAAGAGGAAACAAGAAAACAGTTGGTCGTGTCAAGAAACTTGGATCAAAATTAAACAGGTTTTATTATTTGTTCTTGTTTTTATTTACGTGATTATATATTAAAGTAACAATTCTAAACAGTTTTATTACAATTTTTATCGGAAAAATAATATCTGCATTTAATGTGTTGTTTACATTTATTTGTTCTTTTCCCACTATAATTTCCTAACCTAAAATGCATCACTTTGAATCTATTACTTTGTTTGTTTATACTTTCTTTTTCCTTATGTTGCTAATATGATTCTAAATGGTAATAACATTGAATGTATCAGTTGTAATGTTTGTTGTCATTGAACGTGACCTTCTTGTGGTTTTCTTTTTTGTTATGGATATTATGTGATAAGTTAAGTGCATTAAATGTTTGAAGAAGAGGAAAGTAATATTCTATATTTTATATACAATATGAAAGTATTCAATTGTAAAATATTGATTATTTTGTAGCTTTGAAGGAATAAAACAAGATGTCATCCATTTCTTACGTACCCAGAATAAATCAGCTGGATGCAACTCTCCTGGATAGCGAGATTGATAAAGTTTTTCAGAATCAGATAAAAGAAATCTTTAAATTTTGTCCACCTGGTAAAGTCGACAAGTGGCTACCAGAGATTAAAGCTCTTCTTAAAATTCTCATTTGGAGTTTTTCCTTGGGATGCAAGAGTTCTACGTTTGGACAACAAATGCTTGATCTTCATTACAACAACTTTAATAAGAAAAAATCTATATTATTCCTAGCTTTAAAACTACTTCCAGAGTATTTTAAAGGTAGAGTAATAGACAACGGTATGATATCAAGTTCAAATAGACTGCGTAGACTTAAAATTTATACGTCATGGATAGCAACTGTTGTACACTTCCTCGAATTTATAAATTTGGTCAGTTTTTTACACCGTGGAACACAACCTCTATTGATAGAAAGATTATTAAATATTTCAAGTGTTTCTACCAATCCAAATAGACCAAGGAGCATTGGCTACTCTTATATGACTAGAGAACTTCTTTGGCACGGTTTAATGGAATTGTTTACATTAGGAATTCCTATGATAAACTATCATTATTTAAAACAAAGAATAAGATGGCTTTGGACTAATAGGAAGCAAGACAGTATTAAAAGATCATTTCCAATAATGAATGAATCTACTATCTGTGCTTACTGTAAGGAGAAACCTATTTTGCCGACTCACGCTGGTTGTGAACATATTTTCTGTTATTATTGTTTGCAAGCAAATTTTACTGCAATGAAGATGTTACTCTGTCCAGAATGCAATACCGAATTACATGACTGTGTTATGAAAAATTATGTTGCCAATCTTGGTCCTACCGCTACGGTAGAGAACAATAATTTATTGTGATTCTTTCCAAAATGAGTGTTCATTTAATTTTATTATGGAGATATGATCTTTGCATATTTTTTAATGGTATAAATACTCTTACAAAAAGGTTTACAATGCATATCTATGTATATATATATTTTTTTTTTTATTAAAAAATAGCAATACAAAATCTTCTTTTATTTTATTTTCAATACAACATTTCGACTTCGAGCATCGATTAGCGTTTTCGTCCGAAACAAACAATAATAATAATAGATCAATATGATATACTCGTTGCTTATCAAAATATTAGATTATCATATAAAAATATCATGCTACACTATTATAAAACGCTTTCCTCTTCTTCGTACGCATTATTAATTATTATTATCATTATCATCATCATCATAATCATCATCATCATCTTCATTATCATCATCATCATCATCATCATCATCATCATCATTATAATTATAATTATAATTATTCTTCTTCTTATTATTATTAATATTACACAACATTATATCGATTGAATAAATTCGCTCGACTAATAGTGGACCTTGATCAGATGGGCGGATACATTATACCTTCGAAAAGAATATTTTATGAAGAAGTAGAATAACATTTCGAGAAAAGTACTATTTGTGTAAGCTCAATTTTTTTCTATCGCCTTTTTATAATTATGGTATTTATGTATTTATTAATATATATATATATAGAGATATCAACGAATCGATTGATCGAAGCTGTTGTCAAGTTGGAATGTGCATTGTATAATACAAATAAACATCGTTACGCATTTTTCGCAACGAAAAAAGCGTCGATCGTGATCACGAACAAATACGTATGTAAATATGTTAAGTATGGTATGTACTACGCGCGAATGCACCACCGAAGCATCGCAAAGTTGTTCATTTGAATAGTTCATAACCATTCGAAACTTCCCGGCACTCCGATTGAAAACTTCGATTGGACATTTTTTCAAAAAATCATCGCTCGAACATATTTCGACTGCAAGTTTTTCCATTAAATATTATTATTACGTAGGAACAACGAGTATGTGTGTACGTATGTAGGGATGTGTACGTATGCGTGTGTTTGTGTGTGTGTAAATTATATATATATATATATATGTATGTACATACATATATGAATGTGCGAGCGCACATGTGTATTATATGTGTTATATGCTTGAATAAGTGATTTTTCAATTTCGAGACATTTAAAGTTAAATTTTTGAACAGGGGAAGTTCGCGTGTAAAGAAATCCGGTCTTAATACGTGAGAACCAACTTATCACATTGAGTACGGCGTTCTGTTTGAAACCTGCAAATTTTTAAACGCGCCAAAATAATTTATTGCAATATACAATAGAATAGCTTTTTTAAATTCGCATTTATAAATTCCTAAATATTACTATGTATATATATTCATTGATTTCTTCTTTAGTCCCAATTTAATACAATTTAACGAAATTATTTTTAACTCGTCGAGTCGTTGAATACGCATGTATAAAAAAAAAAACAACAAAACGAGATATCTTATATAACCAGTCTCAACGCTCGTTTTACTATTTACAAGAATTCTCGTAATTCATATACAATGTTAAATTAATAACTACACTTCAGGTCAATATAATTCACTAATCAATTGCATTTTCATTATCGACAAAAGAATAAACTTAGGAAGTGCGCGTTTCATTGCAATAACAAACACACGAAGGAAACAGACACTAATGTACGGTCTTATTTTCTTTTATATATATATACATATATATACATATACATATATATATATATATATATATATATATATATCACACGTGGGAACACATAATATATAACAAATATTTCTTATAACAAAGATGATAATTATATGGATGTATATATGTATATATATATATATACATATATAAATATATAAATATATATATGTATATACATACATACATCCTAAACTATAATTGGGATAATTATGTTTAATTTTTTGTCTTCTTTTCCAATTAATTAACTGATCGTTTGTTATTTTTTTATTCTATTCTAACTCTAATATCGAAAATTTGACTTTTCTTTTTTAAAGCATTTTCAATATTTTTCCCACTCCTCTTGGCGTTTCTTCTTCATTCTCAAATTTTTTTTTTCTTTCTTTTCTTTATCACATATTAATCAACTATCGATCATATACCCCGAGCAAATGCGATCACAGCATGCAAAGACAAGAATAATTTACGTTTTAAAAGAACTTTACAAAAAGAGATAAGAGTCAAGAAGTTTCGCAAAGGCGGCGGCGCATGCGCGATCGCGAAAAAAAACAAAACAAAAAAAAAAGGGAAAAAACGATGATGCCTCCCGCCGAGTTCTCTTTTCGAGATTTTTCACGTTTTCAATTAACGTAAGCTTAATTATTTTCCGAAATTATATTGATTTTTTATTCTTTATTTTATTTTTTTTTTATTTTTTCAATTCTTCTTTAAAATTACGACAATATTCAATCGATTATGTAAATAATATCGATTTAATCCAATCGTGTTCTTTTCTCTAAGATAAAAAAGAGAGATAAAAGAATAAATCACGATCGGATCTTATTAGCTGAAATAGAAAGGTAATAGATAATAGATAATATATAATATATAATATAGATATAAATATAATGAAATAGTTAAAGAGGAACTATTATTAATTAAGAAGACTTGTGCAAAAAATGAAGATTATTATTGCGATCCTTTAATCCTTTTTCAGCCAATAAAACTCCGATCGAAAAAAAATATATATCCTCTCTTGATATTTTTATACGATAGAGATCGACGTGAAAGAAAATAAATAACAAAAGAAAAGAGAAGGAAAGATCATTCGAAAAAGATATGATCTTTCTACTCGAACTGCAAATCCAGCGTGTCTTTCGCGAGCGAGCGAATATAATAAATACTTTGTTACGTTGTAAAACTCGAAATACCATTTGTCGTGCTCCATCTCGACGATCGCGAAAAAGAATTATTATTATTATTATTATTATTTTATTATTGAAGATCTTCCTTCCAACGATCGAGAGAAGTTTTGAGAGGGGGAAAAAAAAGAAACAAAAAAAAAAAAGAAAAAATGCATTTAAAAATTACAACTCGTTCGATCGTGCTAATTAATGGGATAGTAAGGGGGGTGGTTGTTGTTGGCATTATTATTTGGCTCGTTAAAAAAAAAAAAGAAAAGAAGGGAATAAAGAAAAGATTGGAAGAATCTATAATGTAAGAAGATAAAAGATAACGAATTCAAATATCGATGATCGTCGGGAAGGAGTGCGGAAGTTACGCGTTTATTTCGAGCTTAGTCTGAATTAAATATTATATTTTTTTTTCTTTTTTTTTTCTTTTTTTTTTTCTTTTTTTTTATGTTAACCTTTGCTTTAACGAAAGGCCGCTGGACGCGACACAAGTAAGAAAAAAAAATATTTATAATATACGTAAAGAGAGAAAAAAAAAGAAACAAAAAAAATTATATATAATACATATACATATACATATACATATATATATATATATATAAAAAGAAATATATAATCTAATATGTCTCTCCTGCCCACACATCATACGTAAAACAAGAAAAAAAAAAAAATAGTTTCGAAGCCACGCAAATTTTTTTGTTCTAATTTTTAGATTGACCCGTTGACGTTTCCGGACTTCATAATAATTATTTTATCTTCCTATTAAACTTGTACATATACATGTACACACATATATATTATATATATATATATATATATATAATATATTATAATATAATATAATTTAAATTTGTTGTTTTTCCGGTATTCCTTTTTATCCTTCCTTTCTTTCTCCCTTCTTTCCTTCCTATCTATTTTATCATGATATTATTAATCCGTTCACCATTACGAAAATACCTTCCACCTTATATATATATATATATATATATATCATACGCATGACTCTACACATGCACACATTATCATACATACGTACACACATAAAAACATGCACACGCATTCTATTCTCGATCACACGACACAATGTGTTCGTCGAATCGAACGATACTTGCGATCGTGGGAAGTTATCGTTCGATTCGAAGTAAACCGCTTATTAATTATTATAATAACAAAAAAAAAAAAAAAATAGTAAATATAATTAAAGAAATATTATATAACGAACTATATCTGATCTACCTAATCTTACAATTAAAGAGGCACCGTCGAGGCGGCGCGTGCTTCCGAGAAAATGGCGAGAAAAGAAAAAAAAAAAAAAAAAAAGAAAAATATAGTATATGAAACAAAAGAAATATTATATAACGAACTATATCTGATCTACCTAATCTTACAATTAAAGAGGCACCGTCGAGGCGGCGCGTGCTTCCGAGAAAATGGCGAGAAAAGAAAAAAAAAGAAAAAAAAAAAGAGAAATTAAAAGGCAAAAGATAGATGGGAGAAGGGTGTGGGAAATTGTTTTTTTTTGAGGGGGGGGGGGTTTGAGGGATTCATTTTTAGGCCAAAATATTTTTCTCGGGCACGCAACAAAAATAATAAATCATCATCAGCCTATTCTCCCGGTACCTTTAGACGAAATACGATATTAACGATTAACACATGCAAAATGATTTAAATCTTATTTTTTTTTTCTTTTCATATCTCGTTGTCAAGTTCGTTGAGTCCGATTGACGATATTATTATTGTTATTATTACTTATGTTTTTTTGTTTTTTACTTTTTTTTTACTTTTCGTTTCGTTTTCATCTTTTCAAAACTCCCATTTTCCTCTTTTTTTTTTTTATTCAAGCTTTCGGTCAGAGCATTTGTTTCTCCACCGAGTCGGATAGATTCGTCCTTGAAATTGTATATCACTTAATACGAACGCATGGAAGATCTCCGACCGATTAGATCCTCCGTCGTTGTATTTCGAATAATGGCGAATCATGTCCGCATGGAAATAGTTTTTCCTTTTAATCTTATTTCTCACTTTTTAATAATGAGCAATTTGAAATTTTTCCTATGTGCATTAAATTACCCTGTCTCAAAATTCCGGGTCGTTTTCTCGACGCATACGATATTTAACATTTACGTATGACGTCCGCGTTACATGTTATTTCTTTAGTGTATACTTCTCTTGTATTTTTCCTCCATTACCATTTGGTATCGAGCGACGTGGATGCCGTTGAGGATGCGGTTACCTTTCTTTCCGCCCCTGGTGCCGCGCTACCATTAAACGGATTACTTCGTTTTTTCATTTCTGAAAGGAGAATTCATATTTTTTTATTATATCTCTCTTACACGAAATATTTTTCTTTATTGTGGTTAACCTTCCGTAAAGCCATCCATCCGACCACAATGCAATCAGATTTCAATTTATCGACACTAATTTGGATCTCAACTAGCAATATAATCATTTTTCTCATAAATATAAATAATAAAGCATTTACAGAGGGTTAAAAGTTTCACATTTATGACTAAATAAAATAAACTTGTAAGAAATGAATGAATTGTGGGACAATGTTTTTTACGTACCAGAAATCAATAGCATTATTTTACGTCTCGCACCCCAAGCAGTTATTCCGATCTCGTTAAGATCCTTTTCAGTCAATGATGAAAACGTAGCCATGTCCACTTCGTGCGACGTGAACAGGCCTAATTTGAAAAAAAAAAAAGAAAAAAATCGTCGAAAAATCGTTCCATCAAAAGCCCCAAAGCATACATGATTTATTTAGAATAATTAGATGCATGCCATGCGATTAAAGGGTGCGCATATTACATTGCACCGTGTATAAGAAGCAATTTATTATAATGAAAATAATCAAAAATTTACTTACGATTATATTTTTCAAGGCCAACGCTTGTTAACATACTAGCAATATCGGTAAATCTTTGAGATGTGATATTTTTCAAATGGGAAGATGGCGTGTGTTCCATGTAATTCGAAGAAGAACCGATTGGACCAATCGTCGTATCTTTACTACTCGAGTAAAGACCAAAGTCCATACCTGTGTTTAATACAGGTGTCATTGATTCATCCCATAAGTTGAATGGATCGGACGAAGACAAATCCTGATATTCCAAATGAAATTTAACATAAATTACATCATAGAAAAAATAATCAAGAAACTTATAAATAATATTATTTTAATAATAAATGAATAATATTAGTCATTTAAGTTGAAATAAATTACCTTATTCAAATCACCCGGAGGAATACTTTGACTAAGACCATAACCGGACCAAGTCGAAGTTGGTACTCTGTATTCCGAAGAAGTGTTAGATTTATTTTGTACAGCTAACGCGGCCATGATTTTTTTCTGTTCGTAATCGGCGGGTGTAAGGTTCTGTTGGGCAGCCATTTCCAACGATTTCTTCTCACAACCTGGTGCTCGCCGATCGGACACCGAAAGATCCGATAACACACTCGACAAGTCTAAATTAGGATTGGTCACTGTTGGGTTAACCGGTGATAAATTTCGAGGGCTGATAGCTGGACTAGACAAAGAACTTGAAACGCTGCTCAATGAGGAATAAGCTGCAAATGACAAATAATTTTATAATCAATCGTTTCGTTTAGAAATGAATAAGAAAAAAGAAATGAAACCAACCACTGCCTTCCTTGCTATCCGAAAGACTATTGGTAATTCCATGTATTCCACCGTGCAAACCTGTCGACAAGGTAGGATGAATTTGTCCAATGTCGTTCAAGATATGATTGGACAGTCCATGGGTATGAGCCATCATGTTACTGTGCATCATGTGCTGCGTCGTTAACAGGTGATTTAAGTGTCCATAAGAATATGGATGATGAATTGGTAACGATGAAAACATGGACGGAATCGGTGGTATGTTCCAATGTGACGAAAGACCCATTGGATTGGGCGAATGTGACATCGGAGATACGCAGCATGGTAAATTTTGTGTGTTTACAGTTAACATGCTTGATAAACTCTCTGGTATACCACAAGTGATAGTATTCGTACCTGTTAATTACAAATAATTACAATGAACAAAATAAAATAATAATAATAATAATTAAAAAGATCTAATATTTATCTATGCCATACATCTGTACGCTTTTCTAAAAAGTATATTACTTCGCTATTGTGAAACGTGTTTTGAACAATGTTGCAATTACGCTTACCGTTACCATTCGTGGCGTTTCCTTGAAAAATATTGCCAGCATTTGGAATGTGATAAGTGGGCGGTATATCAGCGATTACTCTTGGCTCCTCCAATCCAAGTAGTTGCTTTCTGGCTTCGTAAATGTTGCTGGCATTTCTTTCTATTCCCTTGATAATCACGGAAAATGTACTTTGCTTTGGTTTGTGCCTCACGTTTATGAAAACGTCGAGGGATTGCATCAATTGTGAAATAGTTTCTGTATCGATTGACGACATATAATCCTTTGGGACGTCGAACATTAGAACTAATGGAAGAGATCCCTGAAAAGAATACGTGCGATTGAATGATAATTATTTGACATAAAATTGATTTAAAAAAAAAAAAAAAACAAAAACAAACGTATAATTTGTAAATTGAATTCTACTTACGACTAATTGTTGTCTTGCTAAATAAACGTTGTTAATACTACCGATGATCGTAACGTTGCTCTTTTTCAAACTAGGGATATTCGGGTCACTAGCATCGGGAAACATAATTTGTGTCGACGTACGGTGCATTATTATTTTAAGATTGTTACTTGATTTTCCAAGAACAATGTTATGATGATGCGGCGATATCTCCATCGACATTTGTACTTGAATTTGACTCTGAATAGTTATCATACAAAAAGAATAAAAATTATAATAATATATAATATATAATATATATATAATTAATATATATTATATATATAATTTTTTAATATATATACAATATATAAGAATAAAAATGATAATAATATATAATATATAAAATTAGAATAAAAATAAATAAATAAAGAAAGAAATGAAAAAAGGAAAAAAAAAGAAAAAATAAAGATGAAAACTAGAATAAAGAAATGGATAGGAATTAACGATAGATGTTGAAATAATAACGTGTAAAATAACAATTACTCACAGCTAAGTTTTCGCACATAAAGTTAATCAGGAGTACGGTCGCCTCCTTCACTTGCGAAACTTCCCATTCGCAACCCTTTACGAGAACCAACGTGGCGTGCAATTTCGGTCTGGTACGTAGCATCACCTGAACGTTATATTTCTCTTGAAGCCTAACTACGTAAGGTGAGGTGGCATCCGGTGTACGCTGAGATGATCCCATTATTGGTAATTCGAAAGAAAATATCAATGGCGTAAGTCTCTGCAATCATGAATATAACAATATGACAACAACCATTTTTCCAATTTAGATCTCAAGGTTTTTTTTCTTTTTCTTTTTTTTTTTTGTTTTCAAATTACTATTATCTTCTTACTCTTCGCGATTACAAGTTAGTGGAATCTTGTTGTAAAACAAAAAAAAAATAAGAACTTATCCTTACGAAATACACACCGAGTTTAAAAAAAAACGAAAGGGTACGCTTGGAAAATGAGTTTTTTTGTTCTTTTTTACGATTTTTTTCTTCCACTCACTGCAATTTCGCGTTCTTACGAAATACTTGGATTTAATTTCTTGTGACGAGAAGAAATACATCTTTTTTTTAATTTTAATTAAAAAATTTAAATTTAATTTAATTTAATTTTTGTTACTTTAACCACTTGCTCTACGATTTAACTTCACGGTTGCGGTACAGTGCGCTACAATATTGCATTTGTCGAAACAATATCACTGAGTTTACTATTATTTTCCATTTTACAATATTGCTTGATATGATGAAAATAATATTAATCTATTTACCATGTGATCATCACGCCTATCGACGTGGTGTACACGTCGTTCGTAGTTTTGAAACAAAAAATCATTTCGACGTGTGTGACACGTCTTTGTAGGGCAAGTGGTTAAACAAAAAAACCGATTTTTCTTTGCATATTTTGATAATCTGTAGCTTTAAAAATAATATACTAAAATTTCAAGTATTTTTTCAATTTCAACATTAATTCTTTCAACTTGAACATTAATTGTAAGTGTAAAATATTAAAATTCATGCTTACCCTAACTCGTGCACGGGCTTTTTCAATGCCTTCGATTTCTCCAGCAATAGAAACTTGATTGCTCTTCTCTTGATGATTACTGCGGTTACTATCTGGGAAATGAATGTGGCATCCAGTTTCCTCCATCACTCGTTTAATCGTCAGTCCACCCTTTCCGATAATGTGTGAATGGTCGGTATAACTGACATCCATTTTCATGGTCACTATATTGTTTTGCTGAAAATAGAATACACACACATTTGATTTTCTCTCTCTCTCTCTCTCTCTCTCGTTCACATTTCACTTTATTTTACATCTCTTTTTTTTTATTCTTCTTCGAAAGAAATCAAAAGAGGGAGGGGGCGGTGGAAGAACAAAAAGAAAATGGTTGAAGGAATGAATGAAAGAAATAATGAAAGTGAAGAAGTAAAAGTCGACATTTCACACGAGTTAAACATAAATGCGAATAAAAGGATAATGAAAAAAAAGAGAAAAAAAAACAAAAATGTGTATGGAATGATAGATAATACACCTCGAAGATAGAAAAATAATTTAGTTATGGTTTTTTTTTTTCGAGAAACGAATAACTAGGAAATGAATTGTACACCTCTCTAAACGGCATATTGACTTTTTTATGCATTTAAACTAATGCGCATATGTAAACGTTTATGTCACGCGTATGTACATGGAGACATTTCAAAGATAAAAGAAAGCTAACTCGACGACTTTAACGTCGTAGATCAACGTAGATCATCGTAGATCGTCGTAGATCACTGAGTCACGCGATCACGCTAGTAGTATCCTGTCAGTAATTGCATTTGAACTTGAATTATCTTTCTGTTTTTCCTAACTGATACATATTAATTTTAATTGATTAAAAAAGAAAGAAAGAAAGAGTAAAAAATAGAAAAAAATAAATAATAAATAATAAGAGGATAATTGAAAATACTAATTGCTAATTTTTTCATTTTTTTTTTGTCAATTTAATATTTTATTCAATAAAATAATTTTGTTGTTTCATTAAATCTATTTGTAGAAACTTTCAAGAATAAATTAAAGTAATAATATTAATATAATTCAAGTAAAAATATTAAATATAATTTAAGTAATAATATTATTATATATATTATTACTTAATATTAATATAATAATAAAATATAATATGAAATAATATTATATATTAATATTATTATATTATTAATATTACTATATATATAATAATAAAATAAATAAAAATAATATATAATAATTATTATATAATTATTAATAAAATAGTTATATATATATAATATTAATATAATATAAATAAAAATATTAAATATAATTCAAGTATAATTGCATCATTTATAAAAATTTAATTTTAATAAACTAAAGTTTAGTTTTAAAACATTTAATTTCAAATTGATCGGTATACGAATACTTTTTGCACCTACTGTTAAGTCGCGATTAAGTCACATAAGCTAATCGATGTTCATTTGTTTATGTGTTAGTTGATAAAAACAAATTGACGAAACATTGTTATTTATAGCATTAAACGTGTCAACAAAAAAGTATTCCACGTGAATCACAACTTGACAAATATGCCTATGCGAAATAATGATCATTATTACTATATATATATATATATATATACTGAATCGACTTTTATATTATACGTATAACGGAATATAATGATCGATACACCTTTAGGTGAAATAACTATGTCAACGAATATCAGATATTAACGAGTTATCAAATACACGAAACTTTAAATGATTTCTCTTGCTTTTTTTTTTTCTTTTGAATCGATTCATTCTAATTAGTTATGTATATTTATATTTATTTATTTTCTTATTATTTTTTCGTTTTTTTTTTAAGAAAATAAACGAGAATAACATGTTCTTATTACCGGCAATAATTGTCAACGATAAGCAAATATAATTAAAATAAATGACTAGCTTTTATATAATCTATCGCAATCTTAAAGAGTTTAAATGCATGAAAACAGTTTTTTTTTTGTTGTTGTTGTTGTTAATAATTCTTATTAGTTATACACAACATATGTACATGTGTGTAAGGGAATTATTATTAAATATAAAAAAAGAAAAGAAAATGTTCATCGTTTGGTCCAATCGTTAATTGTAAGATGACGATACGCTTTCTGGATTGAGAGAATTGCATTGTAGAAATTGCAAACATCAACTCTCGCATATAATCAGCAACTATTTCTTTTTTTTATTTTTTAATCTCAATTTATGCATAAAAATATACAACAAAATGTGTCTTATTCTTCCTTCCTTATTTACTTCCGTCTAAATGCAATTCTCTTTTCATCCATTCATCGAATAATGCATGAGAACTTGATTTTAATTTAAAAAAAAAAAAAAAAATAAAACTTAACCCATGGAAGTGAAACGTGATAGAAGAAAAGGAAACCATGGTACGATCTTGTAAAAAAATTCGAAGGTGAAAACAATTTATTTTTACTCTTACAATTAGCCAATTGTCTCTCTCTCTCTATCTCTCTTTCTTTCATTAATTCTTTCTACGAGTTAACAATACGTTCTATGGAAGAAAACATTAAGTAGTAATAAAGTATATTTAAATGATCATTAAATGTCCATATAATTAAAATTATAATGATGCGTTTTTAACGAGTACCTAACAACTATTGATAATACAGTACGAAACTAAATGAAAATAAAGCAAGCAGGTAACTTTTGCTAATTCGAATGAAACTAATTGGGTGCATCGAATTGTGCTTAGAATTCAGTAATTATAAATAATTTAGAAATGAGATAAACAAATGAAAGAAAAAAAAATATATAATAATATATTAATATTAATTATATTTATTAATATATATTATAATTTATTATATAATTATAATATAATATAATTAATATTATATAATATAATAATATTATTATATAATTAATATATAATATAATCATTTAATAAATAATTTAATTAGTTATATTATATATATTAGATATATGTAGATTATAGATATAGATATATAGATTATAGATATATAGATATATATTATATAGATATATATATATATATATATAGATATATATATATATATATATATATAATATCTATTATAATTAATTAATTATATAATTATTATAATAGTTTATTATAGTTTATTTATTTTTCAGGTATACCCCTTTAGGGTGTTTACCCTGAAGGCCCCCCCCCCTACATGTTCGTTCCCCTTGACAGTATACTTAAATATAATTATTATAATATAATATTATTAATTTTAAATATTATATTAATATTATATATAATATAATTATATAATATTAATTATATATTAATTATATATTATAATATATATTATATAATATTATATATTATAAATAAATATATAATATATATATATGTGTGTGTGCGTGTGTGTAATTTGAACGTGTTCAAAAGGTATAAACTTTAATGAGAATGATAATAAACAAATTAAATATAATTGATCGTATTATTATAAAAAGATAAGAAGAATTTGTATATAAAATATTGGGATCACATTCGAAGAAAACCTAAGCTCATACAACATGTTGAATATCGTTGTATACATTCTTTTAAATATTATTATTATTATTCAAAGAAAAGTCAAAGCTCGAAAGTCGTTTGAAATTGATCGACTGATCGATCGATTTTTGCTAATCTTCTACTTTTTTTTAGATAGGGCATTAAACAAAAAATTTTCCATTATTATTATTATTATTATTATTATTATTATTATTATTACAAATTCTTCTTTTTTTCTTGTTTTGCAACAAGTTTAATGCATAAATTATTACTCACCCTCGTGTCTAATATCTCCATTATTTTTTCCTTAGCTGTTCGTACGTCATCTGCACGACCTGCGACCTTTATGTGCGGATCTGCAAGAAGAAAAAAAAAATTTATATATATATACATATATATATTGGAGAATGAAAGATAGGTTACATAAAATGATTTGAACAAATATTTTGAAAATATTTGATTTATCCAAAATATTGCTCAATAATGATAGATATATATCTTAACCATATATAAGATGAACAAAATAAGAAAGATTGATGATCGCTTTATGGCATTTAAAAGATATATAAAAATCCAAGGTAAAACAGTTTGGAAATAATGCGGATGTTTCCGTTTGGATTGAAAAAAATAAAACATAAAAGAATATTAAATGAAGAGAGAAGGAAGCTGATGCTACTACTTTGGCATTAGTATTCCCTTCTCGGCACTTTATATGGGCGTTCGATCGCGAAACGCGTTCTAAAAACATGCTGACGTGTCATTGGAGAAGCACAATGACTGCCACTCGTTTACCATCACTGATTTCATCCTAATATATATATATATATATATATCTATATGTATTCATTGATATTCGGGAGACATCCAATAACACAAAGTTATCTTCCGTGATCCTTCTTTGAAAATATTATCAGTTGAACAACTACCCATATAAAAATCCTTCGATTCTCTTTATTTGGAAAATTTATTTTTTATTCGACACACGTGAGATCGATAAATCTTTTGTATGTTTTTTTTCTTTATTGTTATTTTTTTTTTTTTTTATCGAGGAAGGAAATAGACAATTGCATTCAATCGAATAATTTGATTTAATTAATCAAACAAATTAATTATTCAAATTAAATTTATCAAGCGAATATTTCAACGAAGTGACAATTCCAATTTAACTAGAAATGATGATCTAAACGTATATTTGCAAATAAACACGTGTATACACTAAATGACAATAGTATTATCATATATTGCATGATATAATATTAGCAAATGAAATGAGATGTTGTATTATCGGTAAACAATAATTAACAAATCAGAGATAGAAACTTCTGTTAACGATGATTAATCTAAATTAAATAACACCGATTTTGATCAATTCAAACGAGAAAAAAATTTTTATTATAAATAAAAAAGAAAAGAAAAAAAAGATCGTATCGATTTACGATCGACGACCGCCCGCGGAGACAATAAAATGCAAAAGTTGTATTCGCTTGTAAGATGTTTATATGCATCGATTATGATACCCAACACTTGGGCTTAAATGTCTCTTTTTCGTTCTATCATGCGAGTTTCTCTTCATACGTAACACCTTGTTTGATGTCTCTCCGATTAGAAAATTATCATAAAAATAATACAAGATAATATTATTAATAATAATAATAGTAATAGTAGCAGTAATAATAAAATACAATAATAATGAATCATCAAAATAAAAATGATGACATTAAAAAATGAAAAGAAAAGAAATTAAAGTTATTATTATTATATATATTATATTATAAATATAATTTATATTAAATTATAAAAATATTATATTATATTATTTATATTATATTATATTATATATAATATAATGTAATATAATTTATATTATATTATAAATACTATATATATAGTTTATTATTATTATTATTATTATTATTATTATTATTATTATTATTATTATTATTAATTGGCATTATAGGAACTGGAAAGTTTATTGCCGCAAAAGAAATTAAAGTTGTTAACCCATAATTGTAACAAAAATTGTAAAAATAAAACGATTTGAATATTTTTTCTTCTACTGGGATTGACAAAAAAATAAAAAAATAAAAAAATAAGAAGAAAAAAAATATACACGTGCAGAAGAATGATGTATAAAACCGGTGTCTAGCTACGGTGTACTATTTCGCGAACGTCGAGAGCATGGTAAACGGAATTTTTCGAGAAGGTCGGTGCCTCTCGCGATCCTCGCTAAGAATAGTTGGGTGTATGCACTGACACACACCGCAAAGAAGATAGAAACTAGAAAGAGAGAGAGAGAAAGAAAGAGAGAGAGAGATAAAGAGAGACATTGCTAAGAGCAAGGAAAGTTTGCTGCTTGCTAAACGTTGAAACGTTGACCTAAAAATAACTTCTGACCGAATATGCAAACGACCTTCGGTTATCGTGATCACACTATAAAACGATCTTGATCTAACCGCTGGATCACATTTCTTCTTCTCTCAGCAATGACACAGAAAATATTAAACGAATTGTAACACGCATGATTCGATTTCGCGATTACATGAGAACACGGTCAAAGGTCAAAACCCTGTTTTTTTTTCTTTTTGCTTTTTTTATTTTTTACTCCGACTTTATAATTGAGGACAATTTTGAGCTGATGCAATAAGAAAAAAAATAAAATGAAATATATAAAACCATATGTATATAGAAAAAAAGATCGATAAGATTGTACGAGTTTTATTTTTGATAATTAACGCGATATTTTTTTTTTTTTCAAGTAGTATCGGAAAGACCATTTCTTTTTATCTTCTACTTTATTTTTTTTGTCTTTAATCCTTTATATACAAGCCGTTGAAAATTGAAGCATAGCAACACACACGTGCGTTTTTATATCTCTAACAAGAAAAATTTGATATCGGTGTCAATGTGATGATGATGCTGTTGCTCATTTGTAATGTATGACTTTTGTCTATCTTTGACAAAAAAAAAATAGAAATAGAAATAGAAATTAAAATTAAAATATTTCAAAGTAACGCAGAAAAAAAAAACAATGAAAAAAGAATTTCTAATTGCAACGCGTGTTTCCTGTATATCCTTGAACCACCAAGCTCAATGAACTTATCTATCCACTAATTAAACAAAGTTCTAATTATGTTCTAATCGTCATCTACACCTTTCTCCTTTCTCTTCTCCATTGGAACTTTCCAGAATCAGATAAGACCAGATATCAATCGATTCGACGTGCCCTATCGAGATTATCGATCTGGAAACTTAATGATTATTTTTATTTCTCTTGGAAAGAAGAAAACGAAGAATTGACTACTTGAATATACATACATACATACACACATACATACATACACACATACATACATATATACATGCATGCATGCATGCATATATACATACATAAATCGAATTATCGAATGTATTATTGATGCCATTTCATCGAACGAACGAGATAAGCCGAACACCCCGTGACATTTTCAAACGAGAAGCCTGTTCATTTTTTTGCATGACTTATCTGTCTTTCGTAACACGCATTCGTTGTATGTTTAAAAAAAAAAAAAAATAAAAAAAAAAAATACAATTACATATACGTAAGCCTAATTAAAAAAATAAAGACAAAAAAAAACAACAACAACAACAACAAGAAAAAAACATACAAACGAATAGAAGATAAAATAAAATGCAATTTAGCAGATGTCTCAGCAAAATTCGACAGGTATAATAAACGAATCGATTTTTATATGTGTAAAACTTATGTACACACAAGTTTTAAGGGGAAAGAAAAGAAAAAAGAAAAACAAAAACTTCGATCGAGCTATAGCTTGTTTCATAATTAATACCGTTCGGTTCGATATGCAATGACGATAATTGCAACTAAATTATCACGAAAGAGACTCACGTATGTACGTATAAGTATTATTATACATTTGTATTTATTTTGAAGTGAAAACTTCTTTAGAATCAGGGTGATTTGAAAATCGTGAAACGGAAGAACGTGAAACCGATAAAACGAAAATAATAAATTAATTAATAAAATTCAATATATAATTTAATTCTATATATTTAATTCTATATTATTTAATTCTATATATTAATTAATTAAATAATTAATAAAATTCTATATATAAAAATTTAGTGTAACAATATGTTTGTCCACTAATAATTCCGAAACTACTCAACTTATCTTAATGGAATTTATTTTATTTCACTTAGTGATTTTTTTCCAACTTAGCACATAGCACAATTTTTATCCCATTTTTTTTTTATTTAATATTATTTTTTATTACTAATTTAAAGATTTTTATTTAGAGGTTATCGAGGTTCTGTAAGGTTCTGTAAAAGATAAAAAAAAAAAAGAAATAAAAAAGAAATCTAGAAATGAGATCGAAGAAGATAATTGTTAAGTATAATTTATTTATTTCCGTTCTAGGTATATCGAGTGTTGTAAACCATGTTTCCGATTTATTTTATCAATCTTTCTCGAAACTTTCTTCTTATCTTTTTAATTAAAAAAAAAAAAAAAACAAACAAAAAAAATTTTAATTATTAGATAAAAAAAAAAAAGAAATTATTATTATACGATATTCGAACGAGATTCTAAATAAAAATAATCAGCTCAGATCAGATATCCCACACACATTTGTGTTTTTTCTTTCTTATCCCTTGTAGAGAAATTTCATAGCGAATTTAATTACATTCGATTGTCCGGAAATTTCGTGCCGATTTTGACGATAGATTGAAACGCAACGCATTGAAGTTTTTTTTTTCTTTTTTTTTGGTATTTATTTATTAAATTATATATAAGTACCATTCTGTTGTCACAATCTTTCTCCATCTTTAAGGGTAACTTCCAAATTTCGTCCTTCCAGAACTTCTCAGGTTTTTTTTAGTAAAACAACTTTATGCCATTTACCAAAAATCGGCACGAATTTTCCCTGACAACCCCTAATACATTTAATAATATAAATTGGATAATATTGAAGAGAATGAAAAATATTGAAGAAAAAAAAAGGGTAAATAAAAGAAAGAAAGATATGAGAGAGGAGATTGATAGAGATGCATTAGTGCAAAGATGTATATATATATATATATTAGTGTGTTGGTGAGACTAACGGTTACTAGAAGAGATCCACACAAAAGGAACGAACTATAGTCGTTCTATTTTACGACTTGAAATCAGCTCCGTTCGGCTTACGTGACCCGAAGCGTAAAAGAAGCGTGTACTTTACAACAGAGATCCGCGAACGGAATTTTACAAGGCACTATTTACTAATTAACGTCGTAATTTAATCGTCACAATAATTGTTAAGTCAACACTAACTCGAACCAAACCCAGGCCGATTCGTGTCCCACTTTTATAACCAAATATATACACGCTTATGACGAATCTTCTTTTTTTATCTATCAATCATCTATATATATATATCTATGCATGATTAGATAAAGATTGCATAAAGGAAAAAATTAAATAAAACAAAAAAAATTTCCAACTATTATATGAATGAACTTTGATTATTATTACAAATGATTTGTCATATAGGAGGACTGAAAAATGAAACGAATCTTCTTCTTTTCCGTCTGTTATATTCATCATCTTGACACCGATTACGTGAACTCACTCTCTCTCTCTCTTTCTCTCTCGTGTGTTTCATACCTCGCGTCATTTCACGTATTATGATATTCAACGTGATGCGGCTGGATGTATGTATATGTGATGCTTATATTCACACACGTGGGATCTATGTTTAACGTTTGGTAATAAGATTTATTTACCGATTTCGAAAAAAAAAAAACACTATCACTTGCAACGCGTGTCTATCGTTTATTAAAGAAAGAATCAAGTTTATCCAAATATTTGAAGAATATTAATTAATGATATTTTAACTAGGTGAAATATTAGAGATGATAGATAAAGAATAATGATGATGATAATGATGATGATGATGATGATATTTCGGTACTTCGCGGTGGGGCTCGTTGGTGTCTCATTGCCAGTGGAGGTCGGCTACGGTTAGAGAGAAAAACCCACACTCCTACCTAAGTGTATGCAACGTCTATGTATAATCGAGTATACGTAAGAGAAAGAGAAAGAGAAAGAGAAAGAGAGAGAGAGAGAGAGAGAAGAAAGATGCAACAGCTGTTTAGGTCATGAGGAAGAAGGGATGATTCACCGAAAAGTTTCCACCAGAATAGAGTGCGATGAACACCGTACGTTTTGTCATCCCCCCTCTTCCATTACCGATGAAGAAACGTAAAGACAAAGAAGTATATATATATATATGTATATGAGAAAGAGAGAGGTGAGTAACTACCATATACTTTTATTGAACGTTCGAGTAAGAAGAAGATAAGCAAACGTAGAAGATTTATCTTCATGGAAAAGAAGAAGATAGTATGATGTTACCTGAATCAACTAGCATAACAAAAAAAAAAAATAATAATAAATTCAAAATATAATTATATGGAATCTTCTTTTTGAACAATTTAATGTGTAAGAATAGGAAAGAATAGAAAATAAACGAGATAAAATGGATGATAAGAAATATGAAAATAAGAGAAAGAGAGAGAGAGAGAGAGAGAGAGAGAGAGAGAAAAAAGTGAATTATTTTCGTGTAAAAAACAACACTCTTCCTAATTGATTTCTAAGTGATAAACAAGTGTAGAAACGAACCACTGAAAGGAATAATTGCGTACTCGGAAATCAGACGAGAGAGTATATTTGGACTGCTTGAATTTTCGCTAGGATGCCTTTAAAATCTCGCCACGGCATGGCTGACACGCGCCGTTGCACGAACGACTCGTTTCGTAATCACTTTCGATTAATAGGTGCGCTCTAATTAATCCCTGGTCTTCGAGAACGTGCGGTTACAAACGCGGCGCGTTCAAACAGACTGTACTTATGAGCATGCATGCTTGCTTACTTGCATGCATGCATACATACATACATACATACATACGTGTGTACGTGATATGTATTATTACGTATCTATCTATGTATGCATATATATATGTATATATAAGTATGTATGTATGCGGAAGAAGAAAATAAAAAAAATGTATTCGACAGTTTTGCCCGTTCCGTACGATCGATCACGTTCATGCGCACATATTACGTGCGTAAAGAGAAATTTCGTTTCGTTTCGTTTCGATGAGACGATTCTTTTATCTGTTTATCAACATTTTTATATTTCATCTCCATCAAAATACACAAATGTGTGTATTGTATATATATTTATATTAATTTATGTACATTGCTATTTTATTTTTATTTTTATTTTTACTGGTGGAATTTATCCAACTTGTCGTGACATCGATAACAAAAAGAAAAAGAAAAAAAATATGTAATAAATTTATAATAAAATAATATTATTATATTATAATATAAAAAAAATTTCAAAATAATAATAAGAAAGCAAGAAAACAAATGTAATATAATAATCTATTTCCATAACAATGGAAAATAATCAACTGAAAGACTCAGAATGAAATTGTTAAATCACGTTAGCATCAATCATATTCTATTTTTAACAATTAATCCAATTACATGGAAGTCGCGTGATGAAAATCCTAGGATGAAAAATAATCAATTTCAATTTAATTTTTTTCCTCTATCTATCTATCTCTCACTCTCTCTTTATAATAGTTTCTTATCTTTGTTCAGATGATGTTGAAGAGTAAAACGTTATCATTAGAAAAGAGAGGAGGATTAAATTGAATAGAATGAAATTATATAAAAATTTGTTTAATAAAAATCGATTCCTATATACACGTAAGGAAGTAACTAATTGAATGAACGATATCAAGATGCCTTCTTATCTTCCTTTGGTCTAGGCGATAGGTAAACGAATCATCATCGTGCTTGTACGATACCGTAAACGGCGGCACTTTAAATAGATACATCGTAAGAAAATACGCGTGTGGATATGTCAGCTGACGAGCAAGCAACTTGCTTGACGTAATCGCGTGAGATGTATGTGTATGTTGTATGTGTATGAGTGAGTGTGTGTGCGTATATATATATATATATATATATATATATATATATATATATATATACACATTAGGTATATATATAGGAAAATATCTATGCTGTTTGTAGGTGTATATGCACTCTCGTATGAGCGGTCGATAAACGATAAACAGCTTTCATGAAATATTAAAAATTGCTTTCTTCGATTTATGCGAGAGAACAAACAGCCATCAAACTTTATACTTTTATTCTTTTTTTTTCTTTTTTTTTTTATTTCATTTCTAGGAAATAAACGAAATATTATCCTAGTGCAATTAAAATAAAAAAGAAAAAAAAATAGAAAAACGGAACAATTATATTCTATTTATAATTCATTTGTAACGAAATAAAGGAAACATTATCCTAGTGTAATTAAAATAAGATTAAAAAATAATTATATTCTATTTNAATTCATTTGTAACGAAATAAAGGAAACATTATCCTAGTGTAATTAAAATAAGATTAAAAAATAATTATATTCTATTTATAATTCATTTGTAACGGAATAAAGGAAACATTATCCTAGTGTAATTAAAATAAGATTAAAAAATAATTATATTCTATTTATAATTCATTTGTAACGGAATAAAGGATACATTATCATAGTGTAATTATAATAAAAAGATTTAAAGAAAAGAAAATAGAAAATTTGGTGTAGATTTTTATACGAAGCACGTAGTCTCAGCGTGTACAAGCGTATACGAGAAAAAGAAACAATAAATATTTATAATAAACCGAAAATAGTTAATAAATAATTCTTGTTTTTTTAAATTAAATTCAATTGAATTGAATTCGTTCAAATTTGCACATTGATCGTGCACAATGCAAATTCATTTTATACGACACTCGCATATATTCACGCTGCTCGAGCATAATTTGACCAACTTCCTTCCGGTTTGATTACGTAAAGTTTGTAAAGAGAACTGAACCATAAGGCGATCAAAATCACCTTCCCGTTTCTCTTAACGGTAATTCCAATTTTTTCTTTTATACAAATATGCAAATATATGTATAATATATTTGTGTAAAAAAAAAAAAAAAAAAACAACAACAACAACAATTTACTAGGTCGACGACTATGATTACGACTCGAAGGGAAAAATAAAAAAAGAAAAATATTTTACCTTTTTTCGATTTTGCACCAATCTTCAAACGTGAAGGCCACATCACGAAGGTATTCGTTTCCTCCATAACCTAAAACAGACAACAAAATTTTAAAATTTTCTACAATCGTCGATCGAAATTACGATATGCTCGATAAATTGAAAAAAAAATAAATAAAAATATAAAAAAGAGAGAAAAAAAACATACCCCTATTAAAAATGGCACAATATTGTTCAAAATCGCAATAGAATTGCAATTAAAAAGATAATGATAAACGATGACTATCTCAAACTTGTTATATCGATAAATATGAAATATTTGCTATCACGATATGCAATAAGATGTTATATATTATATATACTAAAAATTACCACAGTCATTTTTAGAATATACAGCACTGATGTCCTTTCCTATTTTGTTGATATGTTGAAAAATCAGAAGAGAGAAGACGAGGGTGAGGAGGGGTGAGTTTTCTTGAAGGAAAGAAAAATAAAGGAAAAAAAAATTCCGTTCGAATGAGTCACGAGGAGTTAAAAAATACAATTTGTCTAATAAATGGAAAGGAAAGCTACACAAAATGGCTTTATATTCTCCAACACAATAATAAGATCCTTTCTCGTCCTGTAACTTTGGTAGTAGTAGTAATGTAGTATGTAGTCTCTTGGTAAAGTAGTGGGGGAAGAGAGGTAGTACAACGACACGTTGCAACCTCGGTCGCAACTTTCACGATAACGATAACGAGATACCACCTCTCGGCAAAGAGGGCTGGCTTTAAAACGTAAGAATAAAAAAAAAATTAAAAAGACAAAAAAAAAGAAAGAAAAGAAACGAACGAACGAACGAACGAACAACACTGCAGAGAGCAAACGCGCACGCCGGCGGCTTTTACTTTCACCGCAGCAGCAACTACGGATCCCCGCAGGACATCACCAACTTAAAAAAACGTGCCTTGGCGACTCGAAAAACTCGAATCTTTCGTTCACCGTTAGGTTCGTTGGATCTTTGACGAACTAAATATATCACTTAAATGCAAAAACTTAATCTTGATTAACTTAATTACAATAGTCTATTTGTGTTTTTATTTTTGTCTTGCAATCCTTGCGACGAGTTTGAAACAATTCATGCACAACAACATACTCGATATTCCACTTATATTTTTTTTTTTTTGGAACGTTAAAAATAACTAACTTGTGATGATTTTATTATAAATCTTACAGTACTTAATTCTTCCTTGCACAAAATTGCTTTTAAGTTCTTCGGTTCCGACTTTAACGCGACCGGGTCTCTAGCACGACTGACTGACTAACACCGGATAATATAACTGCTTGGCAAACTCAACTTCTCCCACTCGAGCTGATTCAAACCCCCTACTCTTTCTCTCTCTGTCTTTCTTTTATACACGCTCCTACTTCATCGAAGCATCCAATACGAAATCCTTTTCAAACGAATCTTACTTATGGTTACAGAATATGAACCATACAAAGTTAGTTTTCCTTTCGATATTATTATATAGAAATTTTCTTCTTGGAATCATTAATTTTCAATGGAATGAATGACATGTTCCTATTTTTTTCAAAAAAAAAAAAAAAAATAAAAAAAAAAAAAGATTTAGTACTTAGCATTGAAAGATGACTGTAAATTCTATTTTATATATTTTATACTATTGTATAGTATAGAAAAATCCATGGTCAAAAATTCCTGTCTCAGCATGTTCAACCATTCTATTGGGATTTCTGGCAGGGGCGTGGCGAAGCAATTCGACCTATCTACTTTAATTTTGAATTTAGCCACCAGATAGCGTATTCAAATGCTAAAGATCCCATTGAACTTTGTACTGACTAAAATGACAAAACTATATTTCTTTTTATTATTTTTAAATCTTAAGTAAATACAAAAAAAAAAAGGTTTTCTTTTCGTCCCTTTATTTATTCCTTTTGTTCAAGTCAAAAGAGAAAGTAGAAGCACATGGGGGTTCTCGATTTTGTCCTATTTCTTTTTTTTCCTATTCATGCTCGGAACTATAAAATATAAGTCCATTTTTTAAATTTGAAATAAGAGAATTATATTTCACAAAATGTATTATAAATTCGAATAAACTGCAAAAAGAAAAATTACAAATAAAATTATATTATATCTTGGAGTATTCTTAATCGTTTAATACTTTATGTTAATTAGACTATCTTAATAGGTGTTGAGAAGGATTAAGGATCTTTTTATATTCGTCTCTCGACGTTGATTATTCTTGCAAATCTTATTTGAAACGTTCCATCATTCTATGAGAGAATAATAATAATAATTATAATAATAATTATTATTATTATTCTTTTAGCACGTGTTTTATAATGAGGTTCTCTCTCAACAAATAGAAGAAAGGTTTTCCGAGAAAGAAATTCATTCGATAAATTGGAAACTTTCATAAACAATAGAAACCACTCACCAAACCCGATTAGAAGAAGAAGAAGAAGATGAAAATGAAGATGAAGATGAAAGAAATCTCATCTCCAATCATCTCGATGATTCCACGAGCAAGCTTATAATTTGACAAAAGGTAACTTCTAGTTGGTAGTTAGTAATTATTTATCTTCCGATAGTCGAACAAGAACCGCCTTATTATTTGTTGAGCACTGTTAGAAACTGCAGTACAAACTGCATTTGATGGCGACGGTTAAAACGCGAAAGGCGTAATCAAAAGGACGAATGGAATAAAATGTATCAGGCCGTGTGTGTTTTCACCGCGAGGAAAGTAACTCGCGGATACGATTACATCAAGGTTATTAACGTCGACTTCCGCGTGTGTATCAAGCAATCGGGTTGTCGACCCGATGCACACCAACAATTTAAAGGGAGTTTTCTTTACTAACATAAGTTTTACGACTATTTACAAAATCTAACTTTTTTTTTAGATTTAGTCAATCTTTCAAGAGATATCCAGGAATTCTCTTTTCAAACTTTACGACCGAGACAATTTTATTAACTATAAAAACAATGATTTCGCATTTCTCTACGTTGTTGGTTACAATAAAACACAATTGGAATAATATGGACCCTTTTTTTTTCTTTTCTTTTCTTTTCTTTTCTCATTTCCAGGTAATTATCTCAAAATTTCTAATGCATTTAGGAAAGAAAACAAATATATATATATATATTTTTTTTTTCGGGAAGAATGCATTAACGACCTGCTGTGACGACGTTACGAAACGTCTCGCAAAGTTTCTCCCTTCCTCCAACCCTCTCCATGCAGAAGTGAGCGCGCGCTCTCGTACTACACCGGCTGACTGTCTGACGTGTCCCCCCGAAAGCTTACGTAATTTCACATATTATAAGTTATATAATTTCGGGAGATATTTTCTCAAATTTGTCGACGAGCCGAGCCGAGTCGAGCCAAGCCGAGCAGAGGCAATCAGTCTACGGAATCATAGCACACGAAAGAATTCTCTCAGTGTGTAAGCAAAGGAAAAGTTCGAATAACGCACCTTGTGAAACGTCCATGAGAAAGGGGACCACGTCCAATAATACTTCGCGATGCTCAACGGTGTGATCCACTTTACTCTACTTTACCAAAATAACTTATTCTTCTTCTTCTTCTTCTCCCACCACCATGGTTTGCTTTTAAATCCAATCTCGTGGTTCGAAAAACAAACGGTGAACAAAAGAAGACAACTAACATCAATTTACCTTCTGAGTTCTATTTTCACGCAATCTCATCGAATACGAATACGAATTCGATAACAATTCGATCAAGTAATTATATCTTTTTTATTTATTTCTTTTTTTTTTTTTTTTTGTAACTTTTTACATAACTGTAATTTCTTTTTTTTCCAATATTCTTTAACTTCGTGTTCTTATAATTTGATTTCTATAGTTTAAACTAGTTAGACAGCTTTTATTTAGTTCGTTTTAATTACTTTCCCGAACACACGTTTTCTGTTTTCCTTTTTATTCTCTCCCCACACCACTACCAATCCCTCCCCTTCCCACACCATTCTCCAGTTTCTTTTCCAGAGTTCTGACCACGGAAGTAAATTTTACTCTCTTTCTTTCTCTACGTTTGCTTTTCTCCATTTCTCGCTTATTACCTCCACTAACCTCGTTTTAACCAGCATTGCCGTACTATCGCAAAATCCCGTTTTTCAAGAACAAACGTGAAAGTTTATCGAAACGTTATTCGTTGCCAGGAAGGAAGGAGATTGTTACAAGTATAGAAAACAGAGAAAAATAGAATAGAGGAGACACATTTATAGTTAAAATAACTTTCGAAACGTTTATTTTCCTACCCTTACTTTTTCCTTCCCTCTCCTGTGTCATTCCATTCTTCGAAGGTTATAAAAATTCTTTTCTTATGTATTTCCTTTTCATATCTATTCTTTCCACTTCCTTTTTTTTCCCCCCTTTTTCCCTTTTCCTTTATTTTTTTTTTTTTTGATTCATCTATTTACAGTCCGAAAATGAAAATGTTGAGTCGAGGTAGACGAAACAAGCAAAGCTCAAATAAAGCTTAAATTCCAACGTTTCTCTTAAGCTAAAATTACAATAGTTGTGCTAGAATAAGTACTTGGTATTTCAGTGAAATAATATCGTCGAGTTTAAAGTCTTAGAAAAGCTCTCGGTAAATTTGTCTTTTGGTTAAAACCAAATAAAATGGTTGATCAAAGAGTACGCGTTATCAACGTTGTTTCGATAAAATTATTTCTTTGCAGGTCAAATTATGTTATTTTCTTCTTCTCCTTTTTCTGGAAATTTTTATTTTCAACATTATCATCTTCTCAAGTAGACAAAAAAAAGAAAAATTCAACGAAAATCAATATTTTGTAATACGTTGATTTAGAAAATTTGATCAAATAATAAAAGTATATAAAGTTTTATTTTAAAAAAATACAATGATTCACGAAAATATTTGAACATTTGCCATAAAATGCTTTATTTATTATAATAAGTATTATTATAGAACACTTATCGATGTATTATTAACATTGAATGGAAGTATGACTCACTGGATTATATATAAGTAAAGTTTCAAGCTAATCGAAATATACATACAATAGTAATGGTTTTATTTCTTACAAACGTAAAGATTGCTGAAATCATAAAAGCATTTGAATAAATAACTTTGAAAGCTGTATATTCTATTTAGTATTAAAGGATTATATTACTATAATGTAAATAATGTAATAATAATAATATAATATAAAATATAATAATATACAATAATTATTAAAATATAAATTATATTAAAAATATCCTTTGATATTTATTAATAATTACGACCTTCACCACGAATAACATCTTGCAAACGATTATGCATATTATTTATTAACTTTTTTGTAATACTTGATGATATGGAACTTCATAGTTCGAATATCATAATTATCACCATCTAATCATAACTATTATATATATATAATCTAATTTGCTTGAAACTTTACTTATATAATTTAAACAGTCCAATGTTAATAATATATCGTTAAGTGTTGTATAATATACTTATTATAATGAATAAAAATACTTTATAAAATGAGTATTTGAAATGCTTTTGTGAGTCATTGTAATATATATGTGTACAGCATCAAAACAAGCAATGTGTTTTTGAAATGTGCAAATTGAAAACGTCTCGATTGATTTAATATTTGATAATTTCTTCGATAGACGTTTTTATTTTTCTATATTCATTCAGTTGCGTGAACGAGAATAAACAAAAGTGTTTTGTTAGATGACGTTTCTTTACCGGTTTTAGTTTAGCGCGGAAATTTTTGTTGGAAATATACAGAAAATCGAACGATGAAACGTTACGTCAATTGAACAAGTTAATCGTATCATTATAAACTTCTTTTTTTTTTTTTTTTATTTCTTTTTTATATCATTATTATTTTTTCTTCTTTCTTTCTTTCTTTCTTTCTCTTTCTTTCTTTTCATAAATTCGCGTCAAATCGCACTTGAATTCTCTCGTAATTTATCGCGCGATAAATTCGGTGACGGAACGGACAAACGAAGTCGTTATTATGTGCTTTTGAGAAAACGAAAAACGAAGTAGAGAAGAGACGAGGGAGGGGGAATGAAAGAGAGTGTGTGTAAGAGAGAGAGAGAGAGAGAGAGCGAGAGAGAGAGAGAAGTTAGACTCTTGATAAACTCGACAAGAAGATATCGACGCAGAGTTGTGCAATTTAAAATGTATGGTCGAACTTCGACTTTACTTGTCAAATACATTTCGAAAAGAAAATTCTTCAAAATGGAGACAAATGAAAATAGAAATTTAATAGGAATATAATGGGAATATAATACGAATC